GCCCCGTCTTTTAGAAAACAAACATTTTGTGTGCCAGGTGTAAGCCGCCAAAAACTCAGAACATTCGAGTAGAGTCTCTAGAATGGCTGACCAAAGTCATCCTCATATAATGCTTCAAACTGTTGCACGCTTTTGTCAGTGGACTGCAATGTATAAAAGCTGTTTGCACAGACTTCGTTCGACGCTGGTGCATGAATCTAGTTCTCGGGTTTTCTAGACTGTTTGGGTCGATCTCGTTTTGTTTATTTATGCATTTGCGTTGGTCCGGGCTCTGTGGCTTACTCAAAAACTGTAATCCCAGTGGTAATTTTATATTGAGCTCTCCGAGCGGACCACGCTATATAGAGGCTAGTGGAATGTTTGGAGAATAAAAATGATGATCCGAATTTCATCCTATCATTTATCCGACCCGGCAGAATGTGCATCAGGAATTGGCGTCAGATGTATCTAATTGGCCAATCAACCCCTAATATCCGCGACATTGATTTCGTATCATTTCATTCCCGTTGAAACTTCCGTCTCGTGCCTTGCAGACCGTCGACCTGATGGCCAAAATAATCCAGTTCAAATAGTCCACTGTTGGCGGTCTCTTGGGAAAACTTGACCGTTTAAAATTAGCTTGCGAAGGGCGGGAATTCATAAGTTTTGTAAACCATATCCAAGTGACATTATGATCAGTGTATGGCTAGAAGAGATCCGGTTCAGAAACGACCGTAACCTCCGATTTTTTGTCAATAAGAGCGGGACCGGAATTTTTCAACGTTTGGTCTCCGGGACGTCCTTTACCTCGATAACCATTCCCCGGGGCAAGACCGAACAGTATAAGGGTATTCATCATTCGAGCAGTATATGTCTGCTTCGACTGATGGTAAAGAATGGGTTGCTAGTGCTATATGCATACAGGAAGAGTCATGACCGCCCATGCACATGATGCCGCACCTTGAGCACACAGTGCCTTTTCCTGCAAAACCTACGCAAGTGGAATAATGAACTTTTACGCCCAAACATTGCATTTTGCTGCATATGTTCACAGACCAAAAATCATTCTCACCTGCCATCAATTAGTGCGATTTGTTTTAAGTAATTTTTGGCGCAAGTGTGAGATTGAACCTGCTGTGCTATGGCTTCGGAGGTGAGTTCGCGTGCATCTGTGAGAAATTTTGAGCTGTGTCCTTTTCCTCCTTCATGGAGTTTGACAAGGCCTTAAATCAATGCGCGGAGGACAACTAGGTGGTATTTTTACTTTCATCCAGTAATCGAAGCACCAACGCTGTTTTGAGTTAATAATGGGCGTACTACAAATGTGACCTTCAAGATCAACGGAAAATTGGGGAGTCCAACGAAGCTAGTCATTTGAGCGTGTTTCCCGATGCAAAGACAGCACGCGAATCACTGATCTCCCAGTGCGGTTACCTCTTATTTTCTTGAACACAGTCATAAGTCTAAGCTTCTATTCGACAGGCTTCCGGTTAATCGACAGCTAACCGAAGACGATTTTAGCACCTGGAGGTCTTCGCTGACGTATGGAACACTGTCTTGTGAGGTGCGATAGACTGCTACCTGCGCCCCTTGCTTATCATATTACGCTGCTCGTAGTGATGGTGGATCTTACTTGGTCAGTAATCTCGTTAGCGACAATGATGGATCCGTGCGTACACTGATGATTCGGTAGCGGGATTTGGCAATCTGATGCACCATTGGACGCAGCGGAGTTAAATCTAAAGAGAGGTTTCATACTAGTCATTTGCAAGCCCAAGTGGCATAGATTTGTTTTCTAGGATACTCGGACCACACACTTCCTCAAGCTCTCACGATTGCAGCCGTAGCCAAGTTCCATTGAGCAAGAGGGTACTAAGTGCGAAGTCCGTCCATCAAAGGACTAAATCTTGACTTAACTCCACTCCTGCAGTCCGATACCGACACCGTGTAGCTGAATAGAATCGAAAGCTCCGGTGTTTTCGTCGTAACTTGTTAACATCCCGCCTTTAACCACAGTGGCTGATCCACCAAATACGAGCTCCTTTCTGGTTGCGAGTTGCACAACCGAAAACTCGTTTTCTAGCTAACTCATTACGGATTCGACGACATTAAGCCACACGGGCTATGGTTCTGAAACAACGGTTGTCGAATGCCCGAAGACGTCTTTGTTCCGCTGCTCGGACAGGCTATCTCTAAGCCATACAAGAAGACAACCCACAATGTAACCTGATACCCACGTCCCTTGAGATTCAGGGATACAAATCGTTGACGACATAAGTGTCTCAAATAAGAGAGCGCAAGCTGGGCCTTGCAGATTAGTGCGTTGGCCTCATCTGCCACAATACAATCAGAACTAATACAACTTCTGAGATACATTAAACGATCCACAAGTGCTACACAAGGCCTGGGTGCTTCCCACTAGATGGTGTGGAGCGTGTTCAGTGATTGTATATCCAGGAGCATGGCCATAAGCCTTGTGGTTGCGCATACAGAAAGGTGGGATGAATTTTTTCAGTTCATCCAAGAACACCTGCGCCTTCATCCTCTCGAAGACAAGGATGACATCGTCTGCATTTTCCGGATTGACAAGGTTTTCGTCACAGGCGATTCGAATACCAAGCTTTTGAAGACCTCCCAGAGTACTCTCCAGTATTTCGTCGATCACTGAATTAGATAAGAATGGAGGGGGCGGGCACACCTGACGGACACCGCGTTATGTACCAAAGCTTTTAAGAGCGCCCCGTTTGCTCTCACCAGGCGGAAGTCTGAGAACACAAGGAACTTATTTTCACAAACTTTAAGGGCAATAGTTGATGAGCAAGCTTGTCAAGATCAGGAATTATAAAGTTCTGGAAGGTTTGTGTGTATGGCGCTGGTTTAGCACCTGACGGATTGTGCAGGTACCAGGGACAATTACCCGATTCTGAACCTCTTTATTTAATAAAAAAGAGAAAACTAAAAAGGGAGCAACATTTCTCGGGCGCCTGTGCTGCAGGCCTGCGCTCATCCTGGTTCTGTCATATGTCGCTGGCAATCTTCCGGAATATGAGAAACACTAACGGGGACTCACTAAACACGGACGCTATCGCGCCTCAGAAGTGGCTCGTTTTGCAGGCCTCACCGCACCTTGCAAACATGAAGCTCCACCAGGCATACCACGCTTTCCTCCGTACTTGCCAATTCACGCATTAAGCACAATTTGAGTCAACTTAATTGCACAGAATTAAGCTAATGCACGTCCCTCATGATAACATATACCAACACCCTTCAGACCAACTTCATACCTACTATCCACACCTGAGTATTAATGACCGTTTTCGAGACCTGGCCCCACTACCATTCGCCCCACCGCATCAGTTTGGAATAATGACCAATTTTGGCTGCCTACTCTTTCGTTTCGCGGTTCAGCGCATGCCACCCAACAGACATTTCGACACCTTTTTATATTTTGGGTCGCCAATGTAGAACACGCTGCTACAGCAGCAGTGACCCGCAATGTACCCTCCATGGGACAAGAATATCCTTCATCAAAGCTTATCTTATTTGGCCACCATTTTGACCAAGTCCGACTACCATGACGACCACAACCGATTCATCCAAATGTTTATATACGAGGCTGTATACGAACCCAAATATTTCGGTACAACTCTTGCCACATCCGGCCCGGTGGCTTGCCCGTAATTCGTAATATCCCTACTTTTTCCCGACCCAGTGCCTTACATGCACCCACAAACCGCCACGAAAAAAATTGCACTACAACTTCTGTGCTGTCCGCGTGTCCTGCCCATAAACCCGTCGATTATCGCAATGGAGCTATAAAGAAGCCAGAAGCTCGGTGAAGACGAAACCTTGCCGCAGAGCCGATTCTGACCATCTTAACAAAACGAGAAACATAATAGTCGTGACGAATCCCTCGTCTGTCGGGAGCCTGCCGCAGTGACAAATTTTCCGCCACACAGGTCTCAAATGACTGCTTTATTTTAAGTTTGCGGGTATACAGTGGGTGTTTATTGTTAATGTGGTCTTTGAATTATCTCCAAATCCAATACAGAAAACAATGAATGAAGTAACCAAATTTTGCACATAATTTCAAGCATCTTAACAGATAATTCTTGCGAAGCCATTGACAGCCAATAAAATATGGACTTTACGCCCACACTGGACCTCGAGCACGTTTAACCGACTTCCAACAACACTGTGACCGCCTATGGGGATCCTAAGGGTTCGTGCAAATAACATCAAATGCTAAAGCTTTTAGTAAAGGTTCCATGATTCAAACTACGATTTTTGCAGTGTCCTTCTAAGGATCTGCATCCGAGTGTCATCCACCGCAAACGACATGGATCTCTACCCTCCCCGGTTTTCACTACATGCTGAAGTCCATTTTTATCTTTTTTTTATGGTATATTCTCTACTACGGTTATGGATTCACGAATTCACGGATTGATACACAGGATCGAGGCTTTTGCCTAAGTTTCCAGGGTTGGTTTTNTCGAGGATGGATACACGGACTCCAGGCTTTTGCCTAAGTTTTCTGGGTCGGTTTTGTTCTTGTCGGTCAGTGGCTGTTGTTCACCTGAAAGGCACAATTGAAAAAAGGGTGTACCGCTGCTCTTTATGTTCTCAGCGCGGGGCAGTATGCTTGCCAGCTCGAGGATTTGCATAAAGTCTTACACAATTGTTGCGCTACTGAACTAGGAGTCGGAACGTACAACACATCTATCCTTGGAAATATCAAGGTTGGTCTGCATGATCGATGTGTCAAATATTAGCTTCCGTAATTCTGTGAGCCTACAACATTCTACTAATTTATGCAACGATCAAAACTTTTGAAGCGCATTTCGAGTCGGTTTTCGGTCAACCCGAAAAGGCAGCGTGACTACCATGGGATTTCACCAATTTCCCGTATTTTCACTCGGATTTGTATTTCCTGGTATTTTGCTGCCTCGTCGATGTGGATCACCTTCAAGGCCATAATTACCCATGGTGGCATAACAACCAATTAGAACATTGACTTTCGCGTGACCGGCGCTCAACTCTAACTGGTCGTTTGCTGGCTCCGTCTCTGGGACTTGTACACCAAAATGCCGTATTACGCTGTTAGAACCGGTCGTTCTCGAGGTGTTTTTTCCACCTGGTCTGATCCATTCTTTCAGCTTTTAACTTTATAGGTCGGAGTGTGAGCAGATGGTCAGAGGGTTTTCTGGTGCAAAATATAAGAAGTTCAGCACGTATGACGACGCTCGACGCTTTAGCGGTAATCTTGAGGTTTTTACCAGGTGATGTTCGTAGAGGGCACTGAAGATACCATGGGTACATGCGAATTGAACGATTCCTCAGAAAGTGAGTTAGCTAAGTTCTCTGGCGGCACCGTATGTAGCATTCGGGTTCAGTTTGGGGGGATTTACTGTAAGGTAGGATTTCCAGGTCGTTCTGAATTGAACCTCACCACAGCGCTGGATTAAAATACGGAGCAGCATGGGATCAGTGGTATGCTGCCCCGCCGGTGGATTACATAATTTAGGGTTCGTGCGCTAATTATAACACCTAAGACGTCCAATATTAGGAGAGAAAGGAAGAAAAAGAAATCGTTCAGCTGTCGCACTCGTTCGGTGCCTAACTGCCATGCCACCCGAAGGTTGCACGAGGGCTGAGATACTGCCAGGTTGCCAAAACCTAGACAGGAGTAGTCGAGAGGCAGAGGTCGGGTTCGAACCATGGGCCTTCCGGTCAGTAAATTCGCGCTCTAACCACTTGGGTCATCTCGCCCCAAATAGGAGTGAACCGCGGAATATTGTGGTCAGTCGACAAGAGGGCGTACGAATGAAAAATTATACAAATACCGCAGAAGAATACGCGACTTTAGCCTATCTCTCAGGATGTCTCCCGAAATAATCTATGAAATGACATTCGAACATTAATTTCATGGAAATAAGCGACCTTATAAGGAGTCGAACTCGTGTGTATCGTATCATCATCGAGGTACTATAGCACTTGGATTGCGTAGACTCTAAACATGCAGTACTCCACGACGTCATGTGATTCGAATGTAGAAAAGCAATAGCGAAACCTCTCCATATGACTGGGGATAGGGGAATAACTCCCACGCCAGCATGTACTCGAACTGGATCGCGTGTTTGTCTAGACGCTGTTCGGAGAATTCTAGAAAAAAGCGCACAGCGTTTCAAGCGGTGCGTCCTAGTTGCGACTCATCCGAGTAGCGAAACTGGTAAATCAAACTTCAATTTTCGATGGAACTGCTTCAACGGGCGACCTCTAGGCCACAGAAAGTGAGTGGGGCTCTTGTGTCTAGGGTTATCTCGATAACCCCTGTGACATCTTGGGGGATCGACGCAGTATTACTCATGAACTTTTCATTTGAGTTGCGAACTGCACCAATGAAATGCTAACAAGGCGATTGGAAAACTGGTATTTGGTTATGCATCAGGTACTTCGTTCGCAGACAACTTTCAGTGGTGTCTCAGTTATGTGCTACGCACGCCGAATTATCCGAATATTGTTATCGTTTCCTGCGTCCGATTGGTGCAAACAGTGAGGTGGACGATGTGTTCCTCATCAGAAGGGAATGAAAGAGCTTATGAAGAGATTGGATGCTGTTAATGCGGCCCACCTTCCGGGCTGGAGTCTCCCCTATCCCCATTACAACAAATGACGGACAATCGGTGTCACTCGACTATCCTGCTGTCAGTTTCCTTCCAGATTGATTTAGCGCTTGGAGGTGTAGTCACCTCAGAGTGTTCGCAATAAGGCAGCACTACATCCCTCCCTTATCCACGCTTGTCTTCTTTAAATATACGGCTCTAAATATACTTAAGTACTTTGCGGCTTTCTGGAGAATCTGAACCAAGGAAAGCCATATCGTCTGTAAGAGGTTGTCACTCCGGGAGCATTTCGACCCCTGTGGTTTTAGGGACAAGGGGAAATTTCAAGCAGCACATTGCTGCCAAAGTTGAAAAAGAAAACGAGAGAGGACAGCCTTGTCTTACACTACTGGACGTGGTGAACTCATGCTAGAGCTTGCTGTATACCCGTACCCGTCCATGAGGGCTAGCATACAGTGCCCTCACAAGGCATATAAAATTGGAAGAGGCAACTCTGATTGTCCAACACTGCCAAAGTTTCTGACGGTTGACAGAGTCGAAAGCAACTTTCAGGCAAAGAAATATGACCAATGTGGGACGCTTTTCAGGAGGTTCTCTCAAGGTATGATGCATACTTAGCCGAGACAAAACCCAGCTTGATTCACATAAACCTGTCTTCCCCGATATTCGATCAAACTGGATGTGATGACTACTAGGCTGATGCCACGATGGTTTTCGCACGATGTTCCTGCACCATTTTTGGAGACTGGGATGGCGGTAGAGGTGCTTCATCCCACTGGTATTCTGTTTTCGTTCCAAATCTTCAGATGTAGGATCGTCGGACTGTTCACTAGGACCTCACCACCTGTTGTTGGGAGCAGACTATGCGGGTCAGGTGCCTTTCCTCTTCAGGTTTTCGTTGTTCACGGCAGGGTTGTGTAGATGCTCCATACCAGCCCGTTAGGCCAGCTGGACTGTTCAGTCCATCGCTCAAAGCGACGGCCCTACGAATGAACTGCCTTTCCGTCTTGTCTTTTTCGCATATTATTTCTTCGACACCCGTCTTCTTTTGACCGGTTGATCGAATAGGCTGAAATAGGCTGCAGCTGTTGGCTGCAGCGAAAGCCTTCTCCATCTCTTGAGCCCTCCAGTCCACTAGCGTTCCTGTCGTCCATCAAGTCGTTTATACGTCGTTTGAGGACTCTGCTTGCGCCATCATAGTCGCTAGTTGCTGGTGCGACTTTTCTGGTAGCAATAGTACCTGCCGATCTCAACGAAACCCAGCATTTATTCGGTCGTGTTGGATGATTTGGACAAACAGTTAAAAAATTCTAAGAGCACAGGCTCTATAACTGCCTTCCATTCAACCTCTAACCAATCTTCATCGTCACCAGAACTGTGCATTTCCAGTGATATTCCAGTCGGATCAACTCTGTGATGTTTGGATAATGAAACTCATCGAAGTTGATGGGCGGAGTTTCTCTGCTTCGGCACGCTTAGCGCTGACGGGGGGCGAAGTGAGAATTGAGTCCGCATAACAGCACGGTCGGAGTCAATTTAATAGAAGGAAAGGCCATATTTAATTTAGGCCCTGATAACCAAATGGTCCAGCTGAGTCTATGACTGGCCTGCGGTTGGTGGCCGCGAAGTAACTTGGTGTTAGCGCTTTTGCTAGAGGTTCGTATTGACCAGGAACAGATGGTGATTTGCGTGCAACTGAAGCAGTCGCTCTCCACCATCCATATTCAGAGTGCCGACATCAAATCGACCACCTTCTTCCTGGCACAGTCGTCCAACTTGAGCGTTCATATCAACCGCCAGCAATACCATTTCGATTCTTCCTGCTGACCGGACCAATCAGTAAAACCTGTACCTCAGGTTTGGTCCGTCGGGACGTATGCTGATACGACAAATAAACTGTTCACCGCACCGATCTGTGTTGAACCTGATTGAACCAAGGAACCGTACAGTACAGTTCTTACTGACTGCTTCGATCGGCGGCAGACGTCATTGCTGATATAATGAAGAATCGAAACAGAAGGTGACTTTTTGCTGTTGGATTCGGATCGACAAACCTTTTGATGCTGATAGTTTTTCCTACACGTGTTTTACATAGGACGCTTGATTGATCATTTTATGCGGATGACTTACAGTACCACAGATGAAAAGGTAGATTGAGGCTAAGAGAGTATGATTATTTTAGTGTATGGGTACCCGTGTTATTTCAAAAAAAGGGGGAGATGTGCCTTTACATGTGGAGCTTTGTGCGTTGAATGATTCGGATGGTTTCTTTGCTATTTCTAAAGTTTTAGCTTAAGCAAACGTCATGTTCAAATTCGTTTTTTTGTGTCCCAGACATCTTGAAGTTTGAAGATGGAAGTGTTCCATTTACAAACGCTTCGTGAATGTTATTTAAATAATTTTTCTCGGCAGTGACTGCTTTGAAGTTATAGTCTTTAGCTGGCGTAGCAGAAGCCAGCAGATGCTGCACACACTTTTTGAGTTGAATGTAAACCGTATCAAGCTAAAATGCGAGAGAAAATTTTAATAGGGATGAAGATACGAGGTTGTCTTACGTCTCTACTTTACTTGGATTCGTCAAACTCACCACTTCAAGGTAGTTTTCAAGGGTACGTCTTCAATAATTTCACTCATCTGCAGCAACTGGACAATCCGAATCCATGTCAAAGCCCTCGAAATTATTGCCGAGTTAAACGGATGAAGAGGGAGAGAGAGAGCTGTAAGCCGCGAGATGCATGGAATTGGCGTGCCGGGAGGTAGCTACCGTACAGTATGGAAATATCGTCGGTGAATAGAACTGTGGAATATACAACCATTGCAAATAGTCCGCAATAGACAAGGATGACTACACTTCAGTGATCCGAGCCGCTTTGCTTGCGTATAATACATGTCAAAACAAAAAAAACCATCTCGGCTAAAAACAACGCGAGACGGAGAAGGTAGCAAAATATAGCTAGTGGTGGACCCTGGGTGCTAAAACTAGGTAGTGAGGAGTGGAAAAGTGATGTTGCGTAACTATATAAAGTCGGACGGTAATTCATGAGGAGAACAGATCAGCTTCACGATGCGAGACGGAGAAGGCAGCAAAATATAGCTAGTGGTGGACCCTGGGTGCTAAAACTAGGTAGTGAGGAGTGGAAAAGTGATGTTGCGTAACTATATAAAGTCGGACGGTAATTCATGAGGAGAACAGATCAGCTTCACGATGCGCAGGGCTCACAGGCACATTAATGGTTGCCTGATTTTCAACATTATTTTCATTTTGGGCCACAGTTCCAGGTTATGAAATCTACGTTACCGAAGTCAACAAACACTAGAAATTAATTTCTTCCACATTTGCTGTCCCCCTTCAGTCCTCTCTTACGCATTTCCAGATTTCGCGTTTTTATATTCCTCCATTCGCCCTGCTCTGGTTGTGCTAGATAGCACCCCGCTCGCAGACTCGCTGTGACTGACCATGATGAACTATTGAATGGTCACGAAACCTCGCGTCTTTACTTCGTTCTTGGTGGCGAGGTCGTACCTCATGGTAAGCGCTTTGCTGGTGTGCATGATGGTTCGTTTCCAGAAAGCCACCAGACTCACATCAGCTCTGCTGATCCGATGTTCCCACCATATGCTCATGACAATGCGGGCATGTTCATATTCGTCCAGTCACCATTCCCACCTATTCCAAAAATGCAAAAACTACTCTTATATTGGGGAGACACGCCTTAACGG